AGAAAAGCAACAAACCCTCTCTTGTTGGTTGCACACTGAGCAAGAGGCCACACGAGAGAAGAGATATGGAGGATGCTGCCCAGCTAAGTGACTGCTGGTGTTCTTCAGAAGTGTGGGGCACATCTGGGAAGACATTGCTGCCGCAGGGCTTGGTTGACTCCGCCTAGCTGTGCCTGTACCAGATGCCTGCGGGCACCGAATATAGAGCCTTTTAAAGATGCAGCATATACTCTGCCATTTCAGCCCAGTTTGCTTCCAGGCAGCAGGAGATGCCCAGAGGAGGAGGCAGGGCTGGCCCAAGACTTCCTACTGGATGAAGCCAAAAACAAGATGGTGCCAGCCCAGGAGCTACCTTCTGCCCCCCAGCGGCTGTTGCCCGAGGCACCCGTCTTCCCCTCTTCATGGTGGCTGGGCCAGCCCTAGAAGCAGGAGATTAGGCTAGTCCTCCCACAACTTTTTGGTAACCCACACCAACCAGAATGGGACGGAAGCAAGTTGAAACCTCTCTGTAGATGTCTGCTCTTTCTCCCTCGACAACTATGCATTGAGGGTCTCCCACAAGCCAGGAGATGCGCCTGAAGTGAAGGAAGGACTGGGAAGAATGAAAGGACAAAGGACAGGATAGAACATCTACTTTTTGCAAATAATGGCATGTCTCTTACCTGTTTAATATAGAGCCTTCCGTATGCTGCAAGAGTGCCACTCCCATCATGCCTCATCCCAGGCTGTGGGTGGCTGGGGCTGATGGGCGTTGGTAAGCCTACAACATCTGGAGGCCTACAACATCTGGAGGCCTACAACCCCCTTGCTTTCCTATCTACGCTCGTCTCTGAAACAGAGTTTTTGCTCATCACGAACATGGAGGGCAGCACTCGAATTTGGCACTGATTTGGTCAGAAAAAGAATGAGAAAAAGAGAGAGCAAGCACATACATAGCAACATGAGCGATATATTCTGATATTAACAGGATGTCAACTGAGTTGGGCTGCCGTGAACCATTATCTGTAAATGTTCATACAGCTCAATCAATCACATACAGCTCATTAAAGCACATTTATCTGCACTTAGGTCTGGAGCATATCAGTTATTCATGCGTTGAAAGCCTTTTCAAGCATTTTCTAGTCAGTCTGAAAGGGGGGAGCCTAAAGTTAGGAGGTGCTCAATTGATAAGGATTGCCCACTGCCACCACAAAAGGGAGACAAATCTACTTCTCTGGGTTTAGAAAGACTCTCCTACATTTCATCACGAACACGGAGGGCAGCACTCGAATTTGGCACTGATTTGGTCAGAAAAAGAATGAGAAAAAGAGAGAGCAAGCACATACATAGCAACATGAGCGATATATTCTGATATTAACAGGATGTCAACTGAGTTGGGCTGCCGTGAACCATTATCTGTAAATGTTCATACAGCTCAATCAATCACATACAGCTCATTAAAGCACATTTATCTGCACTTAGGTCTGGAGCATATCAGTTATTCATGCGTTGAAAGCCTTTTCAAGCATTTTCTAGTCAGTCTGAAAGGGGGGAGCCTAAAGTTAGGAGGTGCTCAATTGATAAGGATTGCCCACTGCCACCACAAAAGGGAGACAAATCTACTTCTCTGGGTTTAGAAAGACTCTCCTACATTTAGCCCTGTTAATGGGGTATTTGGGACAAAGACCCTATGGTTGGGCTAGCAAACGCACGTATCCTGCATAGAGAACATCAGTTTTGAATTTGTTTTTTTGGTGTCGATTTTGTCTTCCACTTTTAGTATGGCGTATCTTTCATTCTTTTTAATACTTGTATAGCTTTTTAGCTTTTAAATGTTGTCCTCTAATGATGTAAGCCACCTTGGGGCAAAAATATTTTAAAGAAGAGGGACGACTCCTTACCGTTCATTGGCATAATCAGTTCTTAGAAAACTGGACTAAAAGCCTTCCTTGAGCAAGGCAGCTTCTGAGATTCTAATTGACTCAGTAGATGAGAGCTGTCACAGGTTTCCCGGCAACGTCTCTTCTTCTTTCACTGCTCCCCCTTCTAACAGTTTAATCTCCAGCCCGCTGAAGCATTTTGTTGAACCCTCACTCTTGCCCACTTCTTGACAAGTGTTCAGTGGGCACCAACAGAAGTACAGTGGTGCCCCGCATAGCGACGTTAATCTGTTGCTATGAGGAAACATTGCTATAACTTTTTAGCTTTTAAATGTTGTCCTCTAATGATGTAAGCCACCTTGGGGCAAAAATATTTTAAAGAAGAGGGACGACTCCTTACCGTTCATTGGCATAATCAGTTCTTAGAAAACTGGACTAAAAGCCTTCCTTGAGCAAGGCAGCTTCTGAGATTCTAATTGACTCAGTAGATGAGAGCTGTCACAGGTTTCCCGGCAATGTCTCTTCTTCTTTCACTGCTCCCCCTTCTAACAGTTTAATCTCCAGCCCGCTGAAGCATTTTGTTGAACCCTCACACTTGCCCACTTCTTGACAAGTGTTCAGTGGGCACCAACAGAAGTACTATTGGATTGTCACTCTTGCATTCTTTCCCTTCACACATACACACCCTGGTTGGTTTTTTCCACATAGGGGCAAATAGCTTCTTGCATGACAACCAGGATTGTCTGGAGCCGCCCTGCAGAATCGTATTTCTTAGGGCACCAAGCCTCATTAAAACAAGGTGCATCGTTAAGCGAGGCACCACTGTACTATTGGATTGTCACTTTTGCATTCTTTCCCTTCACACATGCACACCCCGGTTGGTTTTCTCCACATAGGGACAAATAGCTTCTTGCATGACAACCAGAAGGCAGAAACGCAAAGGCAGCCATGATAATGCACAGAATATTTCTTAGGGCACCGAGCCTCATTAAAACAAGGTGTGGCCACTGCTTGAATTTTGTGGAATATTACAGTGCCATCTGCTGGGAAAAACCCCACACATCAAGGATTCTGTTTTAACTCCTTTGCCCCTTAAAGCTGGCTGGATAGCTGTGGTTTGGTTGGGGGTTCAATCCCCCCACAGTGCCTCTTGTGAGTGGAGCCAGCCTATCTAGCCTTGGGCAAGCAGCACAGTCCCCCAGGGCACCCCCCAGAAAAAGGGAATAGCAAACCACTTCTGTGTGTCCACCTAGAAAACCTTGAAAGCGGTCAGTCACCCTTTAAAGTTGCAACTAAACAACTGCAACGAAACACACCCTTTAAAGCCAAAAATGACGATTACCATTAAAGTAAGCCTTTATGTCACTGTTTTCACGGCTCAGCCCATTCTTCCCCAAATCCATCTTCTACTAAGCTTTCCAATCAACAAGAACAACAACATTTTCCTCCTTTGCCCCTTAAAGCTGGCTGGATAGCTGTGGTTTGGTTGGGGGTTCAATCCCCCCACAGTGCCTCTTGTGAGTGGAGCCAGCCTATCTAGCCTTGGGCAAGCAGCACAGTCCCCCAGGGCACCCCCCAGAAAAAGGGAATAGCAAACCACTTCTGTGTGTCCACCTAGAAAACCTTGAAAGCGGTCAGTCACCCTTTAAAGTTGCAACTAAACAACTGCAACGAAACACACCATTTAAAGCCAAAAATGACGATTACCATTAAAGTAAGCCTTTATGTCACTGTTTTCATGACTCGGCCCATTCTTCCCCTAATCCATCATCTACTAAGGTTTCCAAACAACAACAACAAAAAATATGAATAGAAACGTAATAGAACAGATAACTCTGAGGTTAGTGGCGTTGATTTTGCTCTCGAGATTCGATCTGCTTTTATTGCTTTGCTGTGTCCGATGATATTTGTTTAGTTGCAACTGCCACAACTTGCAAAGTTCCTTTTTTTAAAGGAAGCTGATCCCACCACTCTTTCTTCCTGTCGCTTGGAAAAGTAACACCCCATTATATCCTGTGCTAATTGTTTCTTCCTGTGGCAACAGATGCCCCAAACACTTTAAAATATAAGAAGTAACTTCCGAAAATGCCTAGAAAATATTAGTTTCTAAATCAGTTTCGAATAACTTGGATTACTTCTGAAATGCAATGTCATCAAATCATTGTTGCCCCACAAGAGTGAAGAGGTTAAAGTAACTGCATTACTTGGAGTTTCCAAGTTCTGATCATTGTTCAGAGAGACTTTAGGGGGACAGAAAAACAGCCTGTGTATATATCAGGAAGATCTTCATCCCTCCCAGTGTTTTTGGGGTTTGATCCCAGTGCCCCAACCAAAATGGCCAACGGTAAGGGAATGTGGGGGATGCCCAATCATCTGGAAGGTCAAAGGTTCTTCACCCACGCAGCTAATGCACTTTAACACAAGGATAGGAAAACTGAGGTAGCTAGCGCCTGCCTGATGTGCTGGATTACAACGCCCATTGTCCCCAGGAAGGATGGAAATTCCAGTTCAACTGGAAGATGTCAATACAGTGGTGCCTCGCTTTATGATTGCTCCGTTTAAGGGCGAAACCACATTACGACAAACTTTTTGCAATCGCTTTACGATGTTTCCTATGGGGGAATTTCGCTTTGCAAAGATCGGTTCCCTGCTTAGGGAACTGATTCTTTGCAAAACGATTATTTTCAGACAGCTGATTGGTGGTTTCAAAATGGGCGCCGGGTAAACAAAATGGTCCCTGTTTTCTGGGACAGATTCCTTGCTGCACAGGCAGTGAAAATGGCCGCCCTATGGAGGATCTTCACTGGACAGTGAGTTTCCAGCCCATCGGAATGCATTAAACAGGTTTCAATGCGTTTCTATGGGCTTTTAAATTTTGCTTTACGACGTTTTCGTTCTACAGCGATTTCGCTGGAACAAATTAATGTCGTAATGCGAGGCACCACTGTATATGCAAAAACAAATGGATGGGCAGCACTGTGAACCCACCTGGTGGCCAGGTGATTGTGCCAAAAAGGCACCTGGTTTTCTAAGATACCTACCCACCCACCTTCTGGGTATGGTCATTCTGGATCCTGCTCAGCTTAGTTTTCCCATACAACCATTGCAATAGCTTTAAACACGATCATCCAAAACCAAATGTTCAGTACAAAACAAGCGGGTTTAATACAGGTATGAAAATCACCAGGCATCTCAAATTTCTTTCAGCATTTTAAAAGCAAAAGTGGGTGGGAATTGACACAGATATGGTTTCCACTCATTTAGATATATTTACAGCATTTCTTTTAAAAGATACAATATTTACAAACACAGTTAAAAAGTTGGATTGAGTCAATCCATCTGAAATAATTTTCCAACATTTTCATTTATTTTTTAAAAAAGTAATAAAACAGATAAATTACAAGGGGGGGAATCCTTTGTCTTCTTGTGGCTTCGTTTTTGTAAGCATGGGGCACACTGGAGCATTTTTAGAACTATTAAATACACCTTTAACACACCAATAAGAGCTCACACAAACACACACAGTTTTGGCTACCCTTTTTGAGTTCTGCTCTGTTTTTTCACACCTGTGATCCAGGCCAACACTATGGAAAATACCACATTACAAAGTAGAACTGTTTATACCAAACTCTGGTGGAGAAGGAGCCATTGTACAAAGAAAATAAGTTTGCAACCACAAGACACAACAGAAAATCTGCTAAGGTGGCCCAGAGAACTACTTCTATCTATTTGTCCTGCTTTCCCTTTTGTACCAACCTGTAATTTAAAGCACTTATTATCAAGATATGCTCACCAACATTCTTTCTTCCATATTATTGCTACAAAACTGGGGTATTCACCACGTTGAATGATATACTTCCACTCTTCAATAAACCCGGCAAACAGAAAATATGTCCCACTTAAGTACGACTCCACACATCAGAAGCACCTCTGAAAGCAGTCTTCCCTGACACACCACACATTACACTACAATGCCCATGATTCTCTACCCAGCATGGCCATTGGCATGCTTTCAGGATAATGGGAGTTATAGTCAAACCTATCAGGAAAGCAGGACCTCAGGTTGAAGAAAGCGGTCTTATATTACAGCGCTTCTAACGATCAAATCGCTCACCACAGAAGGAAACTTGACCGAGTTCCATATATTAAACAAAGCTATACATTTAAGGCACATCGTGGTGATGCCAACCTGACCCACAATGGGACAGAAGAAAAATTATACATACATATGCACACCCCCTCCCATGCTTTCTCCCTCTCTCTCACACACACACACAGATACAAACAGTATTGCTATTGGTATATCTTCTCCATTTTAATAAAAGAGTGGAAAAAATGGAGAGGGATCAATTCAAAGGGTACTCAGGATCTCAGATCTTGGGAGATCAATGGAGCCCCATTTTGTGATGTCCACCAACCCCCTCTCCCATCACCCCTAGGCAACACAGCCAGGAGGCAGAGGTTGATGGAGGATACTTTCACAACATCTGGAGTGTGGCCAGTTCCTCACTCCCCAGCCTAAGCTTTCCACACATAACCGCAAAAGTTCACTTCATTACTCCAGTAGGTCCCCTAAGTCAAGAACCCTGTGCAAAGTCCAGAAGGCCCTTCTCAAGAGACACCCAAGTAGAGCGAGTTTAAAACCTGGAAGCTAACCAGAAGCGGCACTTTTACCTGCAGGCCCAGATGTAAACAGAGAAGGTCTGGTCAAGCTGTCAAAACTGATGCCTTGGTTTTCAGAATCCTTGTTACTCAAGGCAATCTACCAGATTTTAAAATCTGCAAAAACTGGGGTGGGAGAGCCGGTCTTCCAGATGTTCTCACTTCCAGGTTCTGGAGTTCCTTATTGGTAGCCATGTTGGATTCTGGGAGTCCAAATCTGAAACATCTGGAGGACCACAGGGCTGTCCCTAACCCTACCCCCAGAGCTGGATGAACAATACAAGGCCTTGGCTTCGGAATGGGGGGAATTAAGCCAGCCAGAATTTCAAAATAAGGAGATCCAGACCCTCCCTCTGTCTTCATGCCCGCTGCCACCAACCTTTGGCCTCTGAGCTCTCGGGAAACAGCCCAACAACGGCCCAGATGTGCAGGGGCTTCCACAACAAACTGAACCAGTAGAGAGCCATCCTTCAGCCAGGTTGGGGCCCATGGGGCCCAAATATCGAAACATGTCTTTTGCCGGAAGGGACAGAACTGCAAGTTTCGCCTTGGAGTTCTAGATTTCAACATCTTTGCAGCTTTGGAGAAGTACTCCCCACCCAGCGTCAGACTGTCTGAGGAACATGGAACTTGTAGTCCCACTTGCTAGAAAGGCACCTAAAGGCAACAGAAAAGGTAGGAGAGTCTGCTTTGTGGCCTGCATGGATAACAATGGGCACACAGAATGCTTTGAAAAGTGGTTTTAACACACACACGCACACACAAAACCACACATATTTTAAACTAATCCAGAGAGAAAGAGGGGTCTACACTCAGCCCTATGAGTGACCTTGTGACTTAGGAAATTTCACAAGAATCGAACAAAGTTTGGAAAAGTTACTTCGGGGATGCCCAGTCCCCTAGCCAAGCTGGGGAATTCTTGGAGCTGTAATCCAAAAAAGTAACTTTTCCAAGCTGTGAAATTAAAGAAATGAGGAAGCTAAAGAGCTCCATATATCATTATAGAGAAGCAAATGCGTGTGAGCAGACATTAAAACTCCCTTTAAAAGACTTTAACAAACGCTGAATAAGCTCCAATCAGGGTTTGCAAACTGGGACAGGCAAGGCAGAAGGAACAAGAACCAAGCTTCAGTAAGATCACCCACAATTCTTCTTGGGTAATGTGAAAACACAAGCGAGATACAGTAAAATCAACAGTTCGAACCCAACAATCAAACCAACATATGCAAGATTGGTGACTGCCATCGGTCTTTGGTGGCCTAAAACAAAAGATTCTGGGTAGCCCACGTCTGCGTAATATTCAGTCCTTGAGCACGTGGAGGACAGGAAAAGCCGAAGGATTAGAGACAGCATGTCTCTCCAGCGAAATGTGTTTAAATGGAACCTGAGATCTCCTGCCATTATTCACCAGATGGAGCCTCTTGGACATGAAGAGGCCAAAACCAGAACAAGATAGTTGGACAGGTGTGGGATCATTCATGCAACATCTTGCTGAAATGGATGGGTTAGGGGGAAATGCGCTTTCCAGACACCAAGCTGCACCGGCCACCTGCACAGAGACTCAGGGATTCTGCAGTCCTTTCTCAAATGCGGAGTGTTTTCCCAAGAGTCCTCTGCTTCGAGCAGCCAGCGCGGGAGTAGACTGTGTTATGGAGCCCCATCCCCTTCTGTGGTCTGAAACCCATCAGAAAAGGGGTTCATGTTAAAGGGGGGGGAAATTAGTGCCTCCAAAGAGATTGAGGAGGGAATGGCTAGCAATGAAGAGGAGGGTGTCAAGCCATCCGTGATTAATCCAGACATATCATTGGTGCTTCGGAAACAGTAGAAACAGAGAAAGGGACCAGCAAAATCTGCCAAGTCCCCTTCACATCACGTGGGAATGACTTCAGTTGCCAGTTTGAGAGACCCAGAGGATTTTTTTGAAGTTAAAAAAAGAGAGGAACAGCAAGCAATTGCTACGGCGTAATTTACACGCCCGTGGTTTCTTTGATCCAGTTCCGCAGTTTGGAAACCTTGGTGTAAACTCCAGGCTTGTTCCGTCGGGCACAGCCGTCCCCAAAGCTGACGACGCCAGCCAGGAAAAACCTGTTGTTGGCCTCGATGCTGATCAGGGGTCCTCCAGAATCTCCCTAAAATGAAGTGAGTGCAGGTTAAAAAATAATAATACATTAGGATCAGTATCCACTGATTCACTTATCCACAGTCTGAAATTATTAAAAATATTAAAAGAATTATCCGTTTGTGTGTGTGTGTGTGTGTGTGTGTGTGTGTGTTTTACACACATGTAGGCACAGAATGAGAGAGAGGAAGGGGGTGGATCAGGGAAAGGACTCCATGGAAGTATGTAGGGGGGAGTTGCACGTCAGGAGTGGGCCCCACACACTGCTGACATGGTGCCCACAATTTGCCCATGATTGCACAAACCTTCCTTCTGAGGTGTGGGGAATAAGAGCACACAACCCTGAAAAGGGAAATTTTAAAAAGCAACATTGGGTAAGTCCGATGAGAAGCAAAAGAAAGACCAGAATCAGGCTCTGAAGGACTGTTAAAGAGCAGAAAGCTTCCCTTACAAGGATTAGAAATGGATTATATTATGGAATCAATGGATTATATTATGGAATCAAATGATCTTGGATGAACCACGCTGATCTCCAGAATTTCAGCAACCCATAGGCATTTATTAGATTCTTTACCATTTGTGGATTTTTGTTTATTTATCAGTTCATTCACTTATTATGCATTTGGGAACATTATTTAAATATATGCCTCATTCTTTGTTTCACTTCAAGTGTAACTCTTCAGTTCTATTTAAAGTATGAACTACGTGGTTATCTAAGGAAATTATGTTGATGAATGTAATTTAGATAGGAAATTGAACCTGGCCAGATTTGAACAAGAAGCTGAAAGGAGCAATTCAATCAGATTACACTTGTTTGGAGGCCATGCAACCCTTAGTCCCAAACAGTGCAGATGTTGGTCTACAACATCGTGCAGACATTGTAATGGTGTCCTACCTGGCAGGCGTCGACTCCACCTGTCAAGATCCCAACACATATCATCTGTCTCGTCAACTGATTGGGCAGCAATGTATTGCACATGGTCTGGTTGATCATCCGGATTTCTGCCTTCTGTAAAATCATGGCGCCAATACCTATCAAAGATCACAGAGAAGGTCAGGTGACTTTAGGAAGGAGGAACTCGTGACAGCTTCCAGCATCACACGCTGGTCCAGAGGTGGGGATCCTGGAGCCCTCCAGCCATTGCTCTCCCGTCAGCCCTGGCCAGCATCCTGCCTGCCTCTCGAGACATCAGGGCCAGAAATCTCAGGCTTTGCCTCTGGAATTCATACTCACTGGCGTTCCACCGATTTCAGGGGTCTGCTTTGAACATGATTAGGTCTGGATCCAGGAGTCCAATCCCAGCTCCCCCAAAGGCTGGCATGTGGCTGCCGTTTCTCTACACCTTACATAAGAGGTTCCCCTATCCTCCACTTACCACTTTTATTTTATGTAAACTATTTTTATCCCACTTTTCTCCTTAGAAAAAGAATCCAAGGCAGCTTACCATCTTCTTGAGTGGCTCCCCATCCGGTGACCCACATGGCTTTGCCAGCGGGAAATTCATGGGTCACATCTGGCAGACAAACGGGCTCAATCTCCGCGGTGAAGGTGACCGGGCTTGATAGCTCAAGCACAGCAATGTCATAGTCAAAGGTATACTCGTTGAAGTAGGGGTTCTGGATGATTTTCTTGATGCTCCTTGACTGAACTTTGGCGTTAGTCCTGTCCCGTTGGTCATGGAGCCCCATATAGGCCGTCCACAGCGTGGGATCGCTATACCTGTAGAACCACACCATGCAGTGTTTACAAGGAGTGCTTGTCTAACCCACAGGATTGTTTAGCCTCCCAAAAAAAAGGTCAACTATTCATTTTATTTATTTGGTGGCTTCTTTAAATCATTTGTAGGCTGCCTTTCTCACAGTGGGGGGGGGAACCAAGGTGGCTCACAATGTTAAAACAAGTAATACTATACACAAAGTAAAACAAGCAGTTAAACTATAATGGTAATTAAAATCCATTAAGGAATTTAAAACTTTCAAGAAGAACACAAACACAGCATCCAGGGACTCAAATCAGAATTATTAAAAGCCTTCCGGAAAAGGTGGATCTTCAATTCTTGGCAGAAGGATATAATAGAAGGGGGCCAACTGAACCTCCTGAGGGACAACATTCCACAACCCGGGAGCAGCCACAAAGGTGACCTTCTCTCTGAGATGTGACAAAGGCTTATCAAATTATGCACGGTTGGAAAAAGTAGTTGAGGAGACACTGTTCTCCCCACCTTATATTCTAGAATCTGACGAGGTCCATCCACTGAGAGTGATTGATGGGAGATGCAGGAGAAGTAAAATAATGGATGTCTTTACATATCACATAGCTAAACAGTAGCATTCCCTGCCATGAGATGTAGTGATGGCTGCCACTTTGGAGTGTTTTTTTTAAAATGAGCTAGATAAATTCATGGAGATCAGGGCTACCCAATGGTCCCTAGTTAGGATGGTTGTTCATCATGCCCAGTATCAGAGGCCCTCTACCCTGGTATAATGGTTGCTGTGGAATGGATGAGAGAGGGTGCAGTCACACTTGAATGCTGCTGGGGTGGAGAGCTTCTCTTTGGCATTTGTTTTGTGCTTGTAAGAAGAGAACACTGGAGTGGACAGGCTGCTGGTCCGATCCAACATGGCCTTTCCTCTGCTCTTACGATATGTTGATTGTTGAGCAAGTCACATGCAGTTGTTCACTAGCAGAGTGGTTCCCAACCTTGGGCCTCCAGATGTTCTTGGACTTCAACTCCCAGAAATCCTGGCCAGCAGAAGTGGTGATGAAGGTTTCTGGGAGTTGTAGTCTGAGAACATCTGGAGGCCCAAGGTTGGGTACCACTGCACTAACACTTACAAGTATCTTAGCAAGAGTAGGTCAGTATTTACAAGGATTTTGACTTACAGCAGTCGTTCTCAACGACTGGCGCAGTGGTTAAAACGCTGCACTGCAGCTAAAACTGTGCTCACGACCTGGGGTTCAAATCCTAGGTAGCCGGCTCAAGGTTGACTCAGCCTTCTATCCTTCCGAGGTCGGTAAAATGAGTACCCAGCTTGCTGGGGGGGGGGGCAATGGGTAGCCTGTATAATTAAATTGTAAACCGCCCAGAGAGGGCTTGTAGTGCTATGGGGCGGTATATAAATCCCCCCCAAAAAAATTCACCTATTTACTTCCCTCCCACCTTATATCATGAATTCTCAAGACTTGGTCTTTCATATACTTGAGATTTCAACTCCCAGAAACCCTACACATAGCCAATGGTTAAGAATTCTGAGAGTCTTGAGTCCATCTAGAAGACCAAAGTTTGAGAAACAGGGACATAGAACACAGTGGTTTTCTTAAGGCTAACTCAGAAGCTTATATGAAAGGCAAAACTGGATCCAGGGACTTCTTTACTCATCACGGAGTCTTTGCTAGCTAAGTCATTTTGGAATCCAAGTCAAAAGATAAGACTTTGTTGTTGAAGGCCACGAGAAAAGGAAGCAGGGAATATAAAGCCGCATTTCTACCGACCTGACGAACTGTTCTTGCCGAAAACAGTGAGCCGCCGACACCAGCCACTTGTCCGAGATCAAAGAAGCCCCGCAGATATGACCCTCACCCTTGGCATGTAAGCTGACCTGCCAGGGCCATTCCCCGACATCAGAGTCCTGCCCACCAACGATTCGAGACTTCTTATTGTAAGCGCGTTTCCCACAGTCTACAAGGAGCAAGAAGCAGAAGCCACAAGAAAACAAAGGTTGAGTTAGTTTGCTTTCTGGGATCCCAGAGGAATATCTCTGACTCCATCATGCCAGAGAGAGGGAGGGAGGAATGTTTCTCAAGTCACCAACGTCCTCCGAAAGGCCAACACTCATAATCCAAACTTACTACAGTTGTCCTCGTCCGAGTTATCGCTACAGTCTTGTTCGTCGTCGCATTCCGGGTTCCGCTTGTTCACACACTGCTGGTTGCGGCATTTGTAGGTGTATTCTTGGCAGGCGACTGTGACCGCTGAGGGGAAAATGCAGAGAGTGAAGGCCAACTCCAGAAAAGCGTTTATCCTGGGGACACCCCATGGCACTGCTGTGCAGAGAAGGTGCTAAACCCGGGGCCAAGAGGGGGAGGAGATGAGGGAGGAGAGAGAGAAGCCGTTTTCATGTCCCACTCCTTCCTTCCGAGAGCAGATGCTACAGACTATCGTGTTCCTAACAAGGCTTTCTCCACTGGATTAGGCCCTCAGGTGCTAACACTAGTGCAATAAAGCCTTGAACGTCTTAGGAGCTGTGTACTCTGAGGACCATCCTCACCAGTACTGACCTCTCAAGAACTTTGGCCAGGGAGGTTCTATTTTTGATGCCTCAGAATCAGCTTGTCTTATGGACCCATAGCACATGGCGAGGCCTTCTGGGTGGTGGCGTTTTGTCAAAGGAACTCCTTTCACTTCCAGATTTAGGCCTTAATCTAATGGGTAGTTCCAAACCACAGTAGACTTGTTCAGTCAGTTTAAACAAGGGTTTACTTACTCTTCAGGAAGCGACTAAATAATTATTTTGCCCTTTTATTTTGCCTTTTTATTGTATTTTAAATGCTGTAAGCTGCCCAGAGACCTTCGGGTAGTGTGGGCGGCATATAAGTTAAATATAAATAAATAAATAAATAAATAAATAAATAAATAAATAAATAAATAAATAAATAAATAAACAAACAAACAAACAAACAAACAAACAAACAAATAAATAAATAAATAAATAAATAGGTTTGCTCTGGTTGGGACCACCCATGGGATCTGGATTGTGGGTTAAACCCGGTTGGTAGTCCAAAATTGAACTGAAGTTACTTTATTGTCATTGTACTTCCGTACGACGAAATTAAATGTCATCTCTTACACATAATAATAAAACACACAAGAACATAGCATCCATAACAGGAAAACATAGTGCATTACACATAAAACATGAATCCAGTGAATCAACTGTTGAAGGGTTAAATCCTGCACATCCTTGTCCTTCAGGCACCAACTAGAAACATGTTCATTTGGACAAGCTTTGGGAAATAAAAGTTTTTGGTTTGGGTGTGTATTTTCAATTTCACATTGCACCCGTTTTCATGGACCTTCTCAAACATTTGCAATTTATTATTTGGACCTTCTCAAACATTTGCAATTTATTTTTTTTTAAACACAATTTTTGTGATTTTAGATATTTGGGGCTCTGAATGGGTTTTTATGTAAAACTGTTATCTACTCTGGCCTTTTATGAAAATATAAGTCGAATCAATAAAGGTTTGGTTGAAAACGGTTGCTTGTTAACAAAGGGCCAGCTTTATTCCTGCACGTGTGCCCAGAGACAACTGGTTAATGAGTGGCATGACTTTCCTGCCATGACTTACATGATTCCCCATAGGATTTTGGCCAATAAATAATAATAATAATAATCTATAGGAAGTAGAAGTCTGACCTACCGTATACCTACATCTCTCTTCACTGAATACCATATTCTTGGTAGGGGAAAATGCCCACTGGCATCTATCACTCAATTATGATTGTTAAACAGATTTAGAGAAACAATGCACAGAGTGCAGTGGTCCATTTTCCTTCTTTCCTGAAGGAATCTGAAGACCTTGGAAATGGATCTCAACAGATGGGAAATCTTGACATTGGAGCGTTTGGGCATGTCATGAGAATGGCTGATGATCGGATTCCAAAAGATCTCCTGTATGGAGAATTAGTGCAGGGAAAGCGCCCCAGAGGGAGACCACAGCTGCAATAGAAGGATATCTGCAAGTGGGATCTGAAGGCCTTAGGAATGGACCTCAACAGATGGGAAATCCTGACATCTGAGTGTTCAGCCTGGAAGCAGGTGGTGCATCATGGCCTCTCCCAATTTGAAGAGACCCTTGTCCAGCAGGCCGAGGCAAAGAGGAAGTCACAAAAGCAGCAAAACCAGGGAGCTGGACAGGGGACAGATTGGATTTGTCTTCAGTGTGGAAGGGATGGTCCCTCTCGAATTGGCCTTTTCAGCCACACTAGACGCTGTTCCAAGTGCTCCATACAGAGCATGATATCATAGTCTCTCAAGACGGAAGGATGCCTCATCTGCCAATGAATGACCCACCCACCCCAAAAGTGAGCAGAATAGCCTGACCGGGATCAGTTTACAGGCCTCAAAACCACACCCAACTTGGGTGGCAGATGATCCAAGCATGACTCGGTTCTTCCCCCCGGTCCCTGCTCACACCTTCCACACCAAGGCACCGGATCCTTACCAGAGCCGCAGTCGCCCTCATCACTCCCATCACCACAGTCGTCCTTCCCATTGCATTTCTGGGCGTCTGGGATGCACTTCCCGTTGCTGCATTTGAAGTTGTCCGCGGGACATTCTGACAGAGGAAGGGGGAGAAGGGGCACAAGGCGATCGTGAATTAAAGGGCTACTGAAACTGGTCATCATGGTGCAGCTGGAGAGTGTAACCAAAGCCACATCATTTCAGAAAGATCCAGGCGCGCACGCGCGCGCGCACACACACGCGCGCATGCGCGCGCACGCACACACACACACAGGGGACATTAAGACACAAACCAAAAAGGAGCACATATGTTATTAAAAGGGAGGACACAAGGCAAGCTGACTTGCATAAATTTGCACGCACTGGCGTATATGCACACCTGTAAAGTTAGAAAGGACTCTGCCCATGTAAGCAGAATTGGATAAATGAATCAGAGGATACCGACCCTGTGGAGGGGGGGGGGTTCCTACTGCATACAGCATACCCTCTGGCTTATGGACCTGCCGTGTGTGCTGCCCTCAGGCTGCTGTCTGTAGAGGGTGGGCAGCTACTAGGTCCCCAGTTTTCCTCCTTCTGGTTCTTTGGCCAGTGTCTTTGATGCTCCAGATGAGCAGAATGTCCCAGCAGCATAATCACGGTGGACTCTGCCTCGTGTGCAAGTGCTGACCACTGCACCAGTGATGGTCTCCCCGAAAGAAAATCCATCCAGGGCTTGTGCAAGTGGCACAACCCCACCTGATGACTGGGCTGGGACGTTCAGCTCAGCAGGAGCTTACCAGCAGACTGGCCTTGACCTTTCCATCAGACTGGGACTGGAGATACCTTCAAGGGGAGGCGGCCCTCAGAGAGGGAGAGGTGGCCTCTGTTAGCCCTACAAAAGGAAGGCTGACTTCCTTGAAAGAGGACACTAGGTGGCCCAACCTCCTTCAGTACACACACACACACACAACCCTAGCTGGTGACTCACGGCACTGCTGTTCATCGCTGTTGTCCCCGCAGTCGTTCACTCCATCACAAAGCCAATATTTGGGTTTGCACCAGCCATTCCGGCACCGAAACTGCTTCTCGGTACAGTCTGAGGAAGGAAGTGGCAAAGAGGAGAGAGCGAGCGCGCCCGTCAACAACAACAACTCAGAAATGGCAGAGTGCAGAAACAAACAAACCCCCCCCCAAAAGCTGCTCTTTATTGGACTTCTATGAATCTGCACATTTCATGCTAACCAAGAACCGCTAAACCATTCAAGATGGCGGAACCCGGCCTCCTCAACCTTGGCTGTAAAGTGTGGCTGTTATTTCAAGTTTCTAGCTCTTAGGGTGGCAATGCTTTGCTAGGCAGGCAATGCCTGATGAAAATTCCTAAGAGCAGGATCTTAGGGAGAGGAGACTCCAGACATCCCCTTCCCTCAGTGAACTATACCTAAGCTGTACAAATTCAGATAATCAAATGTGCATAGGTTACATGGTGGATAGCCACGTATCAAGGTTTTGATCATTCTTCCTGGAAGGCCAAGCATCTATTTATTTCCCACCAGGCTAAGATCTGAAGGAAGACTCACTGCAGTTTTTCTCGTCGCTGGCATCTGTGCAGTCAAGCCACCCATCACAACGCCTCGCCTTGTCAATACAACGGCCAGTCTGGCAGGTGAATTTGCCTGGGCAAGCTACAAGTCCACATGAAGGAGGGAAGGGGGGGGAAAGGCGGGAGAGACGTGTTAGTCTTGCAAACTATTAAAAAGCACCCATTTCACAACGACCTTTCTGCTTTTCAGAGAGGGATGATTTCCGTTTTGCTCCACAGGAAGTTCCCGATCCGCGCACCAAGCTTTGCACTCCCCAAGGATCATCCTCGGGTGCAACCAGCTCTGAAAGCAATCTCGAAAATTACTCCTACTCTTCTGCACAGAGAATGTGGCCAAAAGCACTCACATTGAGACATAGCGCGGAGGTTGCTCGACGCAGGCTGCCACCTGAAGATACCTAGGCACCCAAACAGAGCAATTTGTCAAGGTAGCAGGATCTTAACTACATCGTTTCAGTTCTGTCATTATAGTTCAGGGGTGGTTAGTGCAAAAATCCAGAACTCATTCATCTGTGTTAAGCAGTGAAAAATATCATTTCTTCTCCTTTGTCATCTTCTCAGAACTGTTCCAGATGCTATTTTGAATAATAAATCATGGATTTACCCGTGTGGACCTTGAGAGCCCAGATTATTCAAATACAAGTACAAGACAACCCCGTGCCCTCCAGAAATTACTGTCTGGACTACAACACCCCTAATCCCCGCCCACTGCTCGTGTTGGTGACGGCTTCTGGAAATTATAGTTCAAAACGTTTGGATGGCACCCATTCCCCTGATCTAATACAGTGGAAATTTGGGGCTACCCTGACGGATGGTGGCAGCACTCTTGACAATGGTGGAATTTGCCGCATGCAAAGCATGTGTCCTAGCACTGTGTTACGGTCCCTCCTTGTGTGCCATCTTGCACAAGCAGTATTTTAAGTATAAGGAAGTGCACCTTGGTAGCAGGCTGAACAATTTCAACATTTCCATGTATTACTACTCAATCTCACTGCATGACTCAGGATTCTAGTACAATCAGATCACAGTATTCATGGGGGAATAGTTCCAACCCCTAAGGATGCCAAAAATCCGTACTATATCGAACTCTATCCAACAGGACCACATATCCACCAGGGATTGGTGCCAAGGCCCCTCCCATGAATGCTCAAAAATGCAGAATATTGAATGCCATACATTGCATGGTCTCTGACTCCCTTCTACCCGTCAGTTCTGATAAATACACCTTGGAAATACATAAAAATAGGTGTGGGTTTTTTTAATTTAGTATTTTCAGCTGGTGGATAAGTGAATCAGCAGATACCGATCCTGTGAATGGGTTGGGTGGGTCCTACTATATCCAGCATCCCCTCTGGTGGCCTGTTCTGGTAATACACTTTGGAAAGCTGTATTTCTGGGGGGTGTTATTTAATATTCTCAGGCAGCGTATAAGTGAAACCATGAGTGCTGATCCTGCAGATACAGTGGTTCTACTATACTGTGACAGAGAGAAAGGAGGATTCTTTTATCTACCCTCTACATGTAATCCCAAATATTCTAAATATATTCCATGGGTTCTTAACAGCACATCCAGGCCATGGTTTTATTCCCTTGTTCAGTAAGGCCCAAATATTTAAACTTTTCCTTACACAGTAGTTTTCCCCCAACAAGCTCGCCACTGACAACTCTACTTACGGTCACTGGAGTCGTAAGACAGGAATTCAGCCCAAAAGCCAGTGTCTACGAAGGAGAGGTCTGAGTGGAAACGGACAGTAATTTGGTTGGTTTTGCTTGATACCACGAAGCTCTGGCGCAGGCCACAGTACCTGAGGAAGTCACATGAAGGCAGGGATCACACAAATGCCTAACTAATAATGAGGAGAGATGGGCTTTTCATGTCATCAACATCATTCAGAACATAGCACATTCCCATTTGTGAACTGGGCTTCTGACCCCCATTCTTTGACTCTAGCATGACATGTTCTTTCAACCCTCATGTCACATCCGTATTCAGTGAGGATAGGAAAGCAGAGACAGGGGCCTTTTCAGTGGTGGCCCCATTATTTGTGAAATTTGCTCTCCAAGGCATTCTTGGCGGTGTCTGTTCTTGTTTATAGACAGGCCTAGAAATCCTAGGTCTAGAATGTTCCAGTGAAAGGCAGAAAACAATAGAAGTCAAGATTCCACAGGATGACGCCATGATCATTACAGTGGCGTCAAACTAATGTAGCCGAGTGATGCAGATATATCATCATGGATCCAAGATACTTCAACAATTGCTTTCATTTCGGCAAACCAATGCGTAAGGTTGCCCATCAGCAGTATTGCTTTCTTCCTCCACATCATTAGAGGTTCAGAGGAACTGTATAATAAACAAGGCCTTTTCACTTAGTGACACCCACATTTTGACATGTTCTTCTGAGTGAGAACCCATGTTCATATCTCCTCTGTTTAGATGTGCTCAACTATGAGTCATTTACAGTTGCTTTATTTTCTGTGCCTCTTCTTCAAAATTACAAGCTTGAAACTTTCAAACATTTTAACATTTTACTTCTCCCTTGTTTTATATTTCTGTCTTTTATGGCCAAAGTAATCGGCAGAAAGATTAATACTTCTGAAACATTCTCCATTTTGATCGTTAAAAATGTGTCATAATTTTGAGAGATTTAAATATACTTTTTTGCATTATATCTTGCACTCTGTTGTACTACTATTTGTATTTTCCAAATGATAATATAAAGGAAATATAATAAAGCTGGAAAATAATAACACTGCAATATTTTGAATTCAAAAGCAGATATTTGTAAATATTTTCAAGTTATCCACCACATACCCAATGTCAGAAGCAATTTCAAATGGCAATTGCTCACAATAAAATAAAATAAAATAATTGCATTTAAAGAAAGAAATCACAGGCTTGCATGGCTGAATTTTGCAGACTGAACTATTCTTACTTCTCTTTGTTGATTTCTACATAATCCTTGGTGCAGGAATCCAGTGGAACTCCAGGCTCCAGAAGGAAGAATTCTCGGAACCGCACCTTCACATTCTTATTTTGGGGGACCTGGGAACAAGATTGGAGGTAGTAGTGATGTCAGTGTAAAGCCAGTTCTCTCTTTTTATGGCTTTCCCAAACAACTTGGGCAACAAAGGAGCAGCTAAAGTAATGACATCTCACATCTGAAGTGACAGAAACACAAGAAGCCCACCTAATTCAGCATTCTGTTTCCCATCATGGCTAATCAGATGCCTTCAAGAAGTCTACAGGCACACCACGGAGGCAACAACTCTCCTCTGTTGTCTCTCATATACAGATAATATGGCTTCTGAACAAGCCTGTTCCATTTAGCCATCCATTTAGCAGAAGAGTACAACTAGTTTGAGCCACATGCTCATCTAGCCTAGCATCCACACGTTGGCCAGCCAGATGCTTACAGAAAGCTCACAAACAGTGCATGAAAGCAGTAACTCTCCCCTGCTGCTCTCCAGCTACTCAATATTCATCAGCATCCAGCCTCTGAACATGGAGACAACATATTATTCTTCATTCATAAATTTCTCCTCCCTGATTTTGCTTAAGGCCTCTTTAAAGTCATCCTGTATAGCAGCCACATTATGTTCTCTGCAGTCCTGACTCGCTACAGCAGCTTCCTGTCCCCCGTCCCCCCACCCACACACACACTCCATTCAAAGTTTTGGTTAAGACCCTTTACAATGCAGTCCTCTATACACTTACTCAGAATCAAGTCTCAGTGATTTCAATAGCATTTGCACTGCAGCAGCGTAGGGATTCATATCCTCACGTTCCATCCCTTGGATGCATCCTTCCCTATTCAGTCTTCTAATGTCTGCCTGCCGCCTCTGCCCACCTGCTAGGTTTACCGGTTTCCTCTCCAAAGTCTGCTTCACACTGAACAATACTTCCCTTTTCTTTTTTTAGGAAAGCACTTGACAAGTTCTTACATTTAAAAATAATCAAGTGCACTTTTCCCAAGATAAACGGCATTGCCTAATTTAGAGCATTTTCACTGCAGAAAGCATTTTACTGCTGAAATTGTCTTAAACCCAGTATAATACGTCTGGCAAGAGTGGAAAAGCACATTCTGAAACAGCGTAGCTCCTGTCATTCTCCTGTCCTTCTGAAAGATCATGAGGCAACAGGACGAACCCTTCCAATTCTCTAGATACCAAAGAAAAGCAGATATGATCCACAAATTTGTGCTTTTGTGGAGCTGGGGGCGGGGGAGACAATGGGCCATTGAATCAGTGGGGATTTGGTGAGTCAACACCTCCAAGTTCCATGGATTCAATAAGGCCTACTCCAGTTGTGGCTTACAATGCTAGACAACAGGATTTCGGCCAACATAATTCAGAAATAACTGTCCTTCACCTTGGAAGTTTTAGTCTGTCCTCAAAAAAATATAGATCAATAAATAAAGCAACAGCAGTCTTCACACACAGCTGTATAAGATACTCTAAATCCTTGAAAACAAGACATTAGTAAGTCTAATTTTGTGGAAACTAGGCAAACATACTAAGTACTTGTGTCAATATTTTATTCAGCTCCTGATGAGTAGAAAGTCCCGCCGACATAGTAATGTGGATCTATGTTACTTGCACAAGGCTTACCATTGCGCCAGCAGTGATCCCTGTGAGGAAAACCCAGCCCCTACTTGCCTACTGAGAAAGTCTGTGCAACACTTTCCACTCAGCAGAAACTCAACGGTATACTGGCCTCGTTCTATCTTCCTCTTCACTTCCAATACTTCAGAGAACAATCCGGACACAACCTTAGTGCTACAAACATAGTTTTCCTACATAATGAAAGAGCCCAGCTCACTGGCCTCCTCATTCTGCTCGTAGCGTAGGCACTTGACGTTAAAAGGTTAAACCTACTTGCGAAACGCTTACAGATCATCGCAATGCGATCGCAAAAGCGACATTGCTATGCAGATTCGTCATTAAACGGTGTGCTCGTTAAGCGAGGCACCACTGTATATTTTCTCTGTTCAGGGCAAGACAAGACACAGAAGTTTCCTTCACCTCTAGGTTCTTGATCATTGGTAGCATGGCAACGAACAGATTAGAAACAGCCCCTTCTCGTCTCCACAGCAAATTCCAAAATGATCAGGAAGGTTCTGGCCCTAGGCTCCTTACCATTATATTCCACACACAATCCACCCCGGCAGGATAGTGGCCTGGGTAGTAAGGGGTGCTGAAGTTCCCAGAGGTCCCCATCAAGACTCCACCACAAGCTGTAAGACAAGGAAGAACAAAGGGACTGTGTTTCTCAGGAAGAGCAAGCAGGAAGAAACAATTTGTGCTGAGCAGCCCTTAATGAGGTTAAGCTAGTCTAGAGAGATACCTGATTTATTTTTAAAAGGCTTACGTTTTGCCCAGGAGACCAATTGCCTCTCATCTGCTCACACCTGTCCCCCAGCTCAAGTCGATACAATTCCTGCCATCCCATGTTAAGAGGCATCATTAGAAGCAGGAGAGGGCCATGTTGTTTATTATCAATTTCTTCAAAGATTCAGGAGGAAACTTGTGCCTCAAGTTCCTTCTTAGAGAACCATTAGCCTTAAGATCTTTATTATTATTATTATTATTTTTGGGCAGCTGTTGCTTTTAACCCATTCCTCTCCTCTTCTACTAAAGACCAATTCTTTCCTCTCCCCTGACCCCAAGTTGAACAGAAGAGCTGAAAAGGCCTTCTTACATGTCATCTGCTTCGGCATCTGAAAAAACTCAGCCTTGAACCCCGGATAGCGTCCCTTGGCATCTGTGATCAGCATGACCAGCAGAATGTTTTGTGAGGAGACGAATGTCAGGTTGTATGAAGGGTTGAAACTGCCACAGAGCCTGGAAGGAAGGGAGAAAGGAACAGAGGCATGGAATAACAAAAGGAAACAAAAAGATTTATGGCAATTCCTCTTCCTGAGTCTTAAAGGCAACATGAGAATCAGAGGGTCCCCATCCATTAGTCTGGTGGCTGATGAGCGGTAGAGCTGTCACCACTTCTTAGGAGAAGCTGTTTTTAATTGCTCATAAGGGTGGCATGGTAGAGCTGTCACCACTTCTTAGGAGAAGCTGGTTTTTTTTAATTGCTCATAAGCGTGCCATGGCCCCATGCTGAGCTTGTGATCATTGAAGAAGGGAGGACTGAGAGGAAGACTTAAAAATGAGGGCAGTTTACTTTTCATTCACAAGGAAATCCATTTACGAATACTGCAGAAGAAGAAAAAAGATGATCTAACTCAATTATAAAAGCCATTGGCTTCAAAGTTGCAAGTGTGCTTCCGTCTTGCTTAGAGGAATAAGCTGGATAAAACAAGAAGCAACTGGAAGGAAGGGAGCCCAAGAGTAAAAATCTACATGTTGATTTAGAAAAGACAAGTTGGTGAAACGTAGTTGGATCCATCTAAGAATCTGCTACATGTGTTGGAGCTCTGCTTAGATCTGATGCACATCAGAAAGAGGATGTTCCCATAGTTAACCCCACTTCTTTTAAGAAACCCATCTGCCTTTGCAATTTGGGGATGAAGACACAGCTTCACCATCTGAAATTATACATAGGATGCATTTTGAAAACTGCTAAACAGGCTTCTAAGATTTGAAGATGGGGAAAATTTCACCCACTTCAGTAACCACTGTGTCAAATTTCAGAACTTAAGAAAGGTTAATAGTGTGTGGGATTGCAGAGAGACTCAACTACTGGGTGTGCTGCTTTACTTCTTCTATTTTTCTTTCCTCCTATTTTATACAACTTCAATTCACTGCTTCCTTAGCAAAAACAGCCAGAAGTAAACAAGCTGAAAGACTTAAGCAAGTTATTAAAAAACGTTTGGAATATTTCACGTTAAACAACTGAATCAATAAGAACTGGGGAAATACTCAAGTGCCTGAATGTTTTCCCATCTCCTTCCTGGAACGCCCAATCCTCTCAATATCCAACCAACACCAACATTAATTTTCCCCTCACTTCTTGCATTGTTCTTGGTGTTGCTGTTCCCTGCCAACTCCTCCCCCAGATTTTCAAGACTCTTCATATATTCTTAAGAGTCCAAGCAGCTGATATTTTGGGGATTGGGCCATGAATCGACCCCAAACAAGAGATTTATGTCACTCTATTGTATGCTTCTGGGTGTATACAGAAGCATACAGATGCATAACCCTGCTTAGCTTCTAGAATCAGATGAGATCACTTGTATTCAGGGTGAACTAGTGGCACCACGACAGGGAGTTGCTGATGGCCGTACCAACCTCTGTACAGCAGCCATTAGAGCCTTCCTGAGCAGCAGCAGGCTTTCTAGTTTTGATTTTGGGGAAGCAAACTTACTTCACTAAGGCATGAGGTTCCACGGGGCTCAGCGAGTCGTACACCTTGACGAAGTCATCCCCCGTATGGCACTGTTCCACATCGAAGGTGGTGAAGGTCAGGCTCAGGACCGAGTCCGCATCACCTCTCAGTACCCAAAGACAACGTGCGTTGGAAGGATAAGGACTGTTGGGGAAGCCTGGAGTACTGAAGCTTGTGATCACGCCTTCTTTAGCATGCAAGGCATAGCGACAACTGTCTACAGAGGAGAAAGGAAAACAAACAACAAGCAAACAAAGAGGAGGGTCTCAAAATGAAGAATGCCAAAGCATATTAGATTGACTAAGCAGATAAATCAAAAAAGCAGCTGATGGCACATCCCAAAAAATTGCAACAGCACAGAAGTATCTCCTATAGATGCAAGAGATGGATCTATCAGTCCCTATTGACTAGATCCAATGTTTTTAGGAATGAGCTTTTCACTCAGTGATCGAGACAGGCACGAACCAACAATTAGGCAGTTCGTGCCCATCTCTAGTCAGCAACAACCTGTTATCTTTTTTTTAAACATGACTTGTTCCAAAATGAAACCTCAAGCCCATCCATTCCTACCTAGCAGCCGACCCTTTAAATGGAAAAGCAAGCAAAGGAGGTCTTGAGAAACCGCTCCACCAACAAACCAGAATCAGAGAGTGGCAAAGCGGTGAACCCTTGGGGCAAAGTTTTCATGGAAGCTTGAGATTCAGACGTCTTAAATTTCAAAACCTCATGTTTGAATTTAGCCTTCGAGACTCAACATTTCTTGAAAGTTTCTCCCTCTGTAAGCACCAAATTACAGAGCATTTTCAGTCTGGTTACTGCTGTCGTCCCCTCTTTTACAGGTCTACTCAAAAAGCCGGCCTAACCGAGTTCCATGAGAGCTACTTCCCCCTAAATAGGTATAGGTTTGCCGTTTTGGAATAGCCTCTTGTCCCTGAAATAGATCCTCCTAAGAATCCCAGAAAAGAGGGAAGGACCAGACCTGCCTGGTGCAGGCTAGCTGACGATTTATCAGTGTTAGAACCAAACTTTACTTACTATCCCACGAAGTTTTCATTATATCTGGATCAGAAGCTGCAAAACAGAAACACAAATATTAGGGAGGGAAACTACTTTTTATGTGCCTCATGTGGGGGAATCCCTGCCTGTCTGCATTCGGATGAGACAATGACGAGGAGGGGTGTCTCCTCCCAACCCGTTCATGAGACTCCGTGCCAACGTTCCGACCACAACTAAAACGAATCATCACAACCAGGTTGAAGATGTTTCAGGAAGGAAGCAGAAGCTAAGTCCTGACAAAGAGTTAGAACTTCTTTCTACCAAAGAACAGTGAGGGCTTCAGACTATGCAACACAGGTGGGCGGTGGTTAGAAGCAGGAACCTTTTAAGTGCCGAAAAGCATCTGAATGTCACAGTATGAGCTTCTCAGACCTCCTATAGCTTCCAGTTAGCCTGCCTTGTGTCTGGTCATCAGGAGATAAACCTGGGCTTCAACTGCATGTATGACTGATGGGAATCCCACCAGACCCCCATCCTAGGGGTCTGGCAGCTGAGGAGTCCCCTAGCAAAAATTCCACAGGTTCCAGTCCAGTTGGGTCACTCACAGCAGCTTCAAGGCCACAGTCAGCCACTAGTGCCCCTTCCCTCACATTCCCAGGGAGCTGGCTTTCCAACTCTAGGCACAGTCAATCCGGCGGGGTGGGTGGGGGGGGGGAGGGCAGCTGACATCCCTGAGATCCCTAAAAATCCAGGTACAGAGAAGTGGGCAGGAATTATGAGTCCCAATCTGGAGTACAATCCTTTCTGAGAAGGCCGGTAAAGGTAGGTGATGGGGACCGGGCTGTACGGCTCTGCTCCTCTCGGAAATGTCTCTGCCACATCTGTTGGCCCTCGCATCTCCAGTGTTAAAGCTGGATTGGTGTAGTCTCTATGGCTCCCATCAGGCAGGAAGGGCGTCAAGGCTGGGGTGGAACCAGATCAGCTGAGGGCTGCCTTGCCAGAGCCTCGGGGCCCCTATCCTTTCTCTAGCCAAACAGAGAAGGTGGGAGCAGGTGGCCCTCCTTGCTTGCACTTCTGCGTGGTGCAGAAGATGGGGTCCCCGTGCTCGCTTGCCTCTCACTGTGTCTCCCCTTAGTCCAACCTGGTTGATGATGACCCTAAGCCTTGCAACTCATGTTCTTTTATTCCTGCCATTGTGCCCTCCTCCAGCTGTCCTGCATCAGGCGGTGGCCCTTCTTCCACCTGTGGTGGCACATCTCTTCTGGCTAGGGACATAGGAGATCTGCTCTCTCCAGGGTATCTCTGAGCTTCAGGGTGGGGGCAAACGGCCCGCTGGGGATGCTCGAGGTGACACCCCCCCTCACAACTGCTCAACCATGAAGCTCTAGCTGCAAGAAGAAGGGAGCATGGCAGATTATTTGGTCCAGACTAAAGCAGATGCCTCTGATCACCCTGACTATGGGGTCTGGTGGACCTGGCCTCCTTAGGGTTTGTGGGAGGACAACAGAAGCCATCTTGCAAATATGGGGAAGGAGAGAGGAGAGAGGTGGCAGGGAAGACTTACGGAAAGCAACGAGCGACTCAACTCGGATATCTAGATTTCGTTCTTTAAGCAGCCCAGTTTGATTCAAAGCCTTGATGTTTGCCATCGCCTCGTCCAGAGCGTCCGCCTTGTATTTCGGGACACTGAACTGTGACCAATAGTAAGCAATGACGCTGCCCTCACTGCAAGAAGAAGGGAGCATGGCAGATTATTTGGTCCAGACTATAGCAGATGCCTCTGATCACCCTGACTATGGAGTCTGGTGGACTTGGCTTCCGTAGGAGGACAACAGAAGCCATCTTGCAAATGCTATAGGAGGCAGTCTCATTTAAGAAGGTTTTGGCCCACAAGTTTTCAGTACCTATTTTAAAATTCATATTGAAGAACTGATTTTAAAATGACTCAGAACAGCAAATATAACGGCAATATAACATGTCCTTGTTGATAGAAAATATGCTGTGTCCCCCCCCCATCACCCTAGCTCATATATAAGTTTTGCTTTTAACTGGATAAGTCTTATCTCTGCTCCATGTGGTCTGTATTGTCTCAGGACGACTACAGCCTGAAACAAAAGTTATCCAACAATGTAGTTCCTCTTGAGATCCCAAGCCACTGAGGGCAACCCCCCAAAAGGCACTACCTCACTGATGCCTCAATCCAAAACAAAGATTTTTCACACAACACTTTCTCAAATCATTTAGTTCCTTTGTGTTTCAGTATTTCCTGCAGCAAGTAAAATACTCCAAAGGTGTGGATTTCACACTGTGCAACACACTCTATGAATGACCTGTGAATCACAGGTAATACTATATTCTGTCAATGGGTTCCACTCTTTCTAGTTTTCATCTTATATTGAAAAACCAGAACTGCATTTGGCAACACTGGGCTAGTCTGTTACTAAGCTAACATACTATAGACAGGGTGAAGAAGCATACATAGCTAATTGACTTCTAGAAAACAGAGTTGGTTATTAATCACAGAAACATAAATTTTCATAATGATGCCCACCTTTATATCATTCCTTTCTCTAACATAATGATGTATAGATAGATATTAGTTATGGGTAACTTGTGAGTAGTAACAAACTAGGGACGTTTGGGGAACAATCAACTATACTGACTATGACTAACTGATCACTGTCTAGAAATAACTGTGGGATCCCTTGGCCTCCTTGTGGATGATTGGGAAGAATGGGAAGGGCCAGGATATAGAACTTTCTGATGATTTAGGACTATGGGCAGGATGGAACTCAGCACAAATGTTCTGTATCTAGATACAGACTAGGAAAGTTCAGGTGAGAAATGTTCTTACTTCTCTGCTTTTAAAATTTATATATTGACATCCTTGCTCAAGGAACATGCAGTATGTAAGCAAGAGAGACAGGTGTGAACCGGTGGTTTTGGACTTTGGACGGACCGGCGTTTGGCATTTCCCTGCCCTGCATCCTCTGGTGAGCACACACTCAAAGGCAGCGTCCAGAGGAGGCAGGGCGTGGAAGCCAGACCACTGAGTGGGCAGTTGACGAAGGAGGCAGGACAAGTTGTCCGAAGGACAAGTTGGGCAGGAACTGCCGAACCAACCAATGGAAGGAGGCAGAGCTGGGAAGTGCCGAACACCTCTTCATCCGAAGGACAAATTGGGCAGGAACTGCCGAACCAACCAATGGGGTTTTAGCTTGTTAACAAAAGCTACAAAGAAAGTTGGGATGTCAGTGACCTGCAGCAGTCATCCGAAGGACAAATTGGGCAGGAACTGCCGAACCAACCAATGGGGGTGGGGGGAACCCACTGAAAATCCAGAAAACGGAATAACAAGAATCATGCCTTCAACAAGAAGTAAGCAATTCACATGGAACCACACAACAAATGTAGCCTCAATATATTGCTCCCCAGGGGGTGAGTTTTAGCTTGTTAACAAAAGCTACAAAGGAAGTTATGATGTCAGTGACCTGCAGCAGTCGAAATGCTTAAATAAATGATGGGAATCAAGAAGTTTAGGGCTAAAGCTAGCTTCTCATTAGCAGAGTAGACTCTTTGGAATCAGTGAGATGTATGGTAGTGTTGACTAATGTTGGAATCATTTCAGTGCGACTATACCAGGTGGGATTAGAATTCAGCACAGATGAAAATGCTTAAATAAATGATGGGAATCAAGAATAAGTTTGGGGCTAAAGCTAGCTTCTCATTAGACTCTTTGAAATAAGTGAGATGTATGGTAGTGTTGACTAATGTTGGAATCATTTCAGTGGGACTATACCAGGTGGGATTAGAATTCAGCACAGATGATTTGCTCCTTGGGGTGAGGGGAACAGGAGAATTTGCACTGATACTGGGTGGGATTAGAATTCAGCACAGATGATTTGCTCCTTGGGGTGAGGGGAACTTGCACTGATACAATTTATTCCACAGCCCTCTCAACTGCTTTCAAATGTACAACATGATTTCTCCCAGCCTAGAACGGCTCTGGAAATACATTACCCACCTGAATGCAGAAATCCCAGTCCTTTTGTGGAAAGGGCCAACATCTGGATTTTTATTGTAGATATTTATGAGCTAAAGGTAAGAATTCAGAATAAAAATAAGAACAGATACATTTCTAGCAAACTCAAGCATTGAAATGGGCTCATCCCTGTGGCTTACCCATTTCTAACCACTACAGCACAGATACCTAGATATATTCTTCTGCTACCTCTTTGGCTGATGGTGTTCAAATTCCATTGCTTTCTTATCAAATCTACCCATTTGGCTGGCATACGAGTCCATTTAATAATTGTTCTGCAGGTTAAATGTGGCTTTTGAAACCTGCAAACTTTGGAATAAGCTTATTTTTTTAGACTATACATCCCAGAACCTCCTCACTAGCATAGCCACTTTGGCCAGAATCCTATTGACCTATTATGCAACAATATTAATAATGGTAATCTCTGCATTCCCCTATCCAGTCTGGCTTTCTTTTACACACTCAACCTCTCAGTGGTTGAGAACTCACCACACACCTAAGAGCACAAAGAGAGCCCACAGCTGGTAAAAAGTTGTGTGACTGACCTTCCATGCACTGTTTTTCTCCAACTGGATTTGGCCTTAGCAGCAGCATAGTCTCAATATGCAGGAGGTCTTAGATTTCATCCTAGCTTTTCTACTCAAAAGGTTTCAGTATTCGATAAGAGTGGCTTCCATTAAGAGTCAACCAGAGGTGTTTTTTTTACTTTGGGTCCCCATACGTTCTTGGACTACAACACCCAGAGATCCTGCCCAGCATAGCTCATGGCGAAGGCTTCTGGGAGCAGCAGTCCAAGAATATTTGGGGACTCGAGGTTGAGAACCACTGACCATACTGGGCTAGAACGCCCAGAGATCCTGCCCAGCATAGCTCATGGCGAAGGCTTCTGGGAGCAGCAGTCCAAGAATATCTGGGGACTCGAGGTTGAGAAACACTGGAGTAAGACCATACTGGGCTAGAACCAGTCTATAGTCTAAATCAATACAGGCTAGCTATTTTAGTAGCTGTTGCCTAGACGTCTAACATGGCCCATCCTTCAAAGGAACTGGGGGATGGAATTATGTTGCCCTCGATTGCCCTCCAGAATATAATTTTTGCAAGTTCAGAGTTCCTTACCGCCTGTTTCACTTTATTGGCCAGACCGACAAATTCAGTGGTATTGGAATTCTCGTAAGCATCCATAAATCGAAGGGTTGGGAGTCTCAGGTGACCATTGTAGTGCTTATCAACATGGCTGTTCCTGTCTGAATGCAATCATTGGGGGATGGAAGCAGACGGTTGTTTAGAGGCAATGCTTAATGGAACATGTCCTACCTTACAGGGCTAGAAGTGCCAGGAATGTACGGGGACTATTTAATTTGACTCGTGTGACATGAGTTCCATCGCTCTAGACATAGGTCATGGTCTAGAACCCCTTAACATAGGCAGGCAACTGTGCACAGACTCTGGAAAACAAGTGCTTGGTGACTCATTTTCCACCTCGGCATTTAGCTATGTTCATTAGAGTATTCTAGGTGCTTCAAACCAACAAAACAACTACGGCTAACTCTGTGGACCGAAATTTTCAGTGGATATACAATGGCAGACAAAAGCTATAGAGTTAGTGGATTAATCAAACGAAACTTCAGTTGATTAACCACTGAGACAAAATTTTAACTGATGAGTTGCAACTTCAAGACAGCCTATCATTTTCAAACAGTTGCTATGCGATACATACAGCAAGACAGAACAGAAAAAGGAAAACATATTAAAAGATGGCCATTCACATCTACTACTGAGTAATCGTCCTCTTCTGATTCCTTAGTATTTCCCAACAGCTTATCTGGAGGCTTTAATATGTGCAGATTTATTTACCGTATTTTTCGCACCATAAGACGCACTTTTTTTCCAAAAAAACATTGGGGAAAAAGTGTATGCGTCTTATGGAACAAAATTCCCAGATTATTTTTTCCTGTTTTCTTTGCCTAAAAATTTGGTGCGTCTTATGGAGAGGTGCGTCTTATGGAGCGAAAAATACGGGTATATCTAATAATTAATTTAATTAGACCTATAGCTTCCAATGGTACAGAACCCATCAAATGCCTATAATTAACATAATACAAATCAGTGCCACCTTTTTAAAAAATAATAACAAGTTTTGCATGCACCTTTGATCTACCAATACTTACATTTAAAGTGCCAAACCAAAAACCCAGTCAACAGGGAAAGGAAGAGGCAAATCAATACGATGGCAGCCACCAACACCCAACGCTTTGGGCCACGCTTCTCCAGCTTCTTGGCATTCATAGTGGGAAGGAACTCCACCCCTTCCTCAAAGCCGTTCATGTCCTAGAGTAAGAGAGAGGCACACAGAATCAGGATGCAGCCCTAGGTACTGTTCACAAACTTTCCACATGTTCTGCCCTTTCCTCCATCTCTGATGAGTCAGTGGAGTAAGCAGAGGACATCAGGGGTCTCTCACATGTTTACACTACTTGTGCTGAACCACATCACTTCACAAGCAAGTAGCCCCAAGTAAACAATCTGGTTGGCTAGTTACAGGACTGCCACTTCTGCATCGCCAATAGAAAGGATGAATGTTCTAATATTTGTTATGCTTAACCACATCACTTCACAAGCAAGTAGCCCCGAGTAAACTATCTGGTTGGCTAGGTACAGGACTGCCACTGTTCTAATATTTTTTATGCTTTTCGGGGTAGATTTGTTGAATTTGTATTAGTGAAAGGAAAGGGGAAAGCCGCTAAACAACCATCTATACAATTTTGGAAAAGAAGTTTGTAATAAAAATATTGTTCAACAAGGTCCCATGGGTATGGGGTGCACGGTAGAATTTAGTGTATAGCAAGCACTATTATTTGTATTTTTGTATATTTTTTGTTGTTGTTGTATCTGTTTATAAAATAAAAAAGAAAGGATGAATGTTTGCATTAAAAAGGATCTAGGAAATGTATACCTAGGAACAACTGCAATCAGTTATACAAAAATGCACTGCATCTCATCACAGGGGAGAAGACCACACAACCTCTGCCTGCTTAACCTCCTTTCCAGGGGCTGCTATCTGTGGATGGGCAATGACAAGACCTCTGCTCATTCCATCACTCTTTCTGCGAGTAGTTTTTGATGTTCATCCAGACATGGACTAGCTGAGCATCAACAAAGCAAGGTTGAAGCAAGGCACATGGCCACCTTACCAGGTTGCGGGAGGCTCTTGATCTTGAACACAGATCTGCCCCCTTGCAAGGTTTCAGCTCCCATGAGGAGATGCCTTCCGAGAAGACCGAACTCCTCCAATCCAACTAGGTATGACCACCAATTTGGATATAATTATCTATTTAGCCTAGTACAATGCCGAAATGCATTCTTCAGTTCTGATGCTGTAAACATTGGGAACTTGATCTAGGTTTACATGTTCCAAATACAAAAAGCAGCCTCTGAGTCTCACCTAAGGCAACAGGCAAGCCTGTGAAATGGGAGCAAACCGCTCTTTTGTCTGAAGGAGGGGGAGGAAATGCAATTTGTTACCTTTGCCACTCTGTCTTGTAAGAAACCTAAACCCTATTTTCCTTTGTGGAGGGGGAGGAAATGCAATTTGTTACCTTTGTCTTGTGAGAAACCTAAGCCCTATTTTCCTTTGTGAGTAGTCTGGCTTCATGAGCCAAGAGTGTCACAGGTCAACCGGCTTTTCAACTATTAGTCGCAACTCCCAGTTTCATACCAAGTTGGCCTAAGAGTTCTGGCGAACTCAAACAACCATCGTGTTTGTAACTTTCTAGTGATTCAGTGGTGGTATTGCCTAACCTTGGGCTTTGCTGCTAGAACACAGAAACTCTGATTAAAAGCCTCGGCCTCAGAAAACACACACACAAACACACACTCATCTCGAGAACAAACACACTCATCCCCAGAAACATTAGGGAAATACAGGTATTGCTCGTACACTCTTCACGAACCTTGTTCCTTCACCCAGTCTACCCAATCCCTTTTGAGCACCTGCTGAACAGATCAGGCTAAACCAGGCTCAAGCCAGCCACACCTGTTGTGCTACGGTTGCGTCATCGAGTGCTTCGAGGTGACAGACTTCCATCTACAAAGTCAGCAATCCTTCGGAGGTTAGAAATCTATTTCCTTCTGCAAGCAAACCCGCCCAAACGCTGATCTGAGCCAACGTACATATAGCCCTAGCAGGAGACAATCCCCTTTTAAGAAAGCAAGGGGGTGGGGTGGGGAATCTTAGGCAAACGCTTAATCTTTTCTTCCTCCAGTTGAGCCTTCTGAGTGAGGAGATACCGATCCTTTCGGTCCAGATGGACAAACCATTGACCATAGTTCAGATGGATGCTGAATTTTGGTCTCATGTATCCTTGACATTAAATACTCATCTACTCGTGCTTCTAGGAGACGGTGGTCCCCATTTTACTATGGCTTGAAAATTCTCCTCAAATCTCACCTTTTCTGCAAAATCTTTTTAAACCTCTGGAGATCCGAGACCAATACCAGGGATGGGGATTTGAGATCCGGGACCCATTATCAAATTAGACTTAAGTCTCACCAGTGACTTTACTCCATGTGTTTTTTTAATGACGTAGACCCCACTTCCAACCTGGAACCCACTCACCCTCTCCCCTTTTTTCTGGGAGAAAAAGCTTGCTTTCAATGGGGATTCAGACTTGGGAGTTGGGATGAAAGACCCAGATTTGGGATGCGGACGCAAAGACTTTCCTGATTGATATGAAACCACATGTATTCACATGGTTTCCCATACTAAGATGCCTCCCTTTCTCCTCTCTTTAGCTTCCTCCGCTGTGTCATGAGGGATCAGACTTGTTTATTATGGCCCTGAATAAACAACTACAGGCAAATCTTCTTTAACCAGCTGACTTCTGGCTTCGCAGACTCACTGGCATCAAAGGACTTTAAACTCTGCAAACAAGGCAGAGCAATTGGTTTCTACCTTTTCACCCAAGACTATATGAAAACATAGACCTTGTTTGAATGACAGAGAATTATTTCCCTTCTGCTTTTTTTCTGCTTTACCTAAACATATGTATGATTTCTTTTTTTAATTCTCAAGTTTTTAAAATAGTATATACACATACAGCTATTTTTCTTTGTATGGCATACAGTATTTAGCACATACGATGCTAAATTATTCGATCCACTTAGAACACGTTTATTTGAGTAGAACACGTGCACCACACTTGTTCAACCTGTTAGAATCTGATATTCTTAATAACATTCCATTAAGCCATTTTCATTCCATTAATGGCTTAATGGAATGAAAATGTATATAAAAAGCTCTTTTTGGGAATGGAGGGAAGAAACCTGTGATTATCAGAAGAGCATTTCTTGCATCGTGCTGCCTCAGTTGTGGAGTATAAGGAGGTCAAGATCCGTGTCTTAGCCTGTCTATCCATGGAGCATAGGACATTAAAGGAACCTGCAGAAGATATGTAAAACGCTTAAGCACGTAGGCTCGAAGAACTTAAGTATTTCACCATTGAGGTCAAGATCCGTGTCTTAGCCTGTCTACCCATGGAGCATAGGCCATTAAAGGAACCTGCAGAAGATACGTAAAACGCTTAAGCACGTAGAACTTAAGTATTTCACCATATCAGAAACAACCATCATCTTCCATGCACCTTCTTGGCCCTGAGGGGGGTAGAGCACCACCTATTCATCAAGTGACCTTCACTGTACTGAAGGCACAAAGCAGAGGTGTGCATTTGATCCGGACAAAGTGAACACTGGGGTGTGACTAACCGCATACTTCTGCTGCCGAAAACACTGAGCAAATTCTAGGAAGTCTTAGAAATCTTGAGATGCTGGAAATGGTCATTTTTTAAAAAGAGGTATGGCAATCCATTCTTCTTTCTGGTTCTTCACCCTACTGTCCATCTGCCTAAATGATCATGCAGAACTCCTTTTTAATGCATTGGGCAGACAAGGAGGTGGCTTGGTCTGTAGCACCGACAGCACTGAGAAGAGAAGAACTTGCTGAAGCCACCCAAGAGGCTATCTTGTTCCCCTCGAAGCCAACTGTGTCTCTCCCATCGTTCGTTTAGGCTCACTTCCTTCTCCAGTAGAGATTTCTCCTTCTTTGCCATGGTTGTGTCATTAGCAGTCTGGTTTCCTTTGACCCGGCTTGACAGCGACTCCTCTGATGACTCAGCGCTCCAATTATAGACAAAGAAACATCTCCAAGTTTGGCCATACGTGGATCAGTTGGTCAGTTACACCAGTTCCGGTCAACTTTGAAGACTTCGCCAGGAGAGAAGAACAGTCTCTTCTTTTTTTGTCCTCCACAGAACTCTGCATCCGATTCAGCTATGCTCTAGGCCGGTGCTTCCCAACCTTGGGTAACCCACATGTTCTTGCACTACAACTCCCATAAATCCTGATCAGCACAGCTAGTGGTGAAGGCTTGTGGGAGCTGTAGTCCAAGAACATCAGGGGACCCAAGGTTGGGAACCCACTGATCTAGACCATCCAGAAGTCTCTAAGCCAGAGAAATTGGTTTCCTTCATATGACTTTGAACATGGTTCTTGAGTAATCATGCACACATCATGGGTAAGGCACAGATAATGATCCCATACCAATGATTAAGAAACTTGCTATCTTGCAGTCCTTCTGGAAGGGTAATAGGCTCTCTCTTACCAACCCTCACTGCCCCAGATTATCCATCAATGACATTCTGACCTCCTGGCAGCCTTTTCAACATGGTATGTTCCCACTGTCCATCATCTTAGAGAAAATCATAATTACGATAACAAAATGCCGGTACGCGATCCATGCCCTTTGCTTGGGAATAAAAGAAGTGGGCTTTATGTCCTCATCATGGCAATTTCTTTGATTAGAGTCACTCGTAGGATACTAAAGGTAGAGCAGCATCCATTCAGAAAATGCGGAGGTATCACCGTCGCTTAGAGACGTGTAGATTTGTGTTTCTGGACCACAACTCCACAGCTCCCTGAAGAATTTGGGGTGATCTGGTCCAAGAACACAGATCTGCACAACTCAGCCTTCTGTCTGTACTACTTAACGAGAGGCAGAGCTTAATA